TTGTTCTTTTGAGTTCCATGTCCTGCATTGTCTCTAGGGGGTTCTCATTGTGTTCCTCTAGAGGATTACTGGTATTTGGTGGGAATATGTTATTTTCATTTTTCATGTTATTATTTTTTTTCTCTGTGATTTTGACATGTGAATTTCTTTAGTAGTCTTTGATTCTTGTGTGAGACTCAAGCCTTCAAGTTTAGGTCTGCTTCTTTTTGTGAACATTAAGTGCCTTTGTGGTTTACTTTTTGGGCATGAAAGGCTGGTTTCTCTAAGCTTCCAGTTCTCTCTTTTGATTTTATACTGGAGTGGCCAGATTGCTTTTATCTTCAGGATTTCCCACAGAGGCCCAAGTCAGATGAGGATCAGATGCTCTCAGGCTTTTTCCTAAGGTCTGGATCCTTCCAGGATAGACTTTGGCCTCAGGAATTTGGGGGTTGGACTGGCCTGGGAGCCGGTCCCAGGAAAGATGCTGGTCTAGGGCAGCTGGTGGCCGTCCCACCAAGAGATGCAAAGGCAGATGGGGCAGGAAGAGGCCCCAAGGCCTCCAGGGGACTGCACTGAGGAGCTGGGTTGGTCTGGATGCAAAGGATCAGTGTCCCAGAAAGTGGCGGGTGGTGCAGACCCAGGGAAGCAGAGGGAGTTGGGGCCAGGGCCAGGCCCAGAAGCAGTGTTCCTGGGGCACAGTGAAGGCACTCTATTGGTCTGGATGAAAAGGATCAGGCAGCAGTATTGGTTCACCAGGTGTCTGGGGCCCCAAGACAAGGAATGGGGCAGGGCCCAAAATAGGAGGAGAGAATGGCAGCTGAGATGGAAGGATAATGGGGCTGGGGGAGTCAAGGCATGTAGGGCACAATGGAGTTACCCCAGAGACAGGCCTGCAGGTAGGAGAGAGGCCTGTGGCGGGTCCTGCAGGCCCAGGGAAGCAGAGGGAGGTGAGGGCAGGGCCAGGCTCAGAAGCAGAGAAGGACTCCTTTGGTCTGGATGAAAAGGATCAGGGAGCAGTATTGGTTCCCCAGGTGTCTGGGGCCCCAAGACAAGGAATGGGGCAAGGCCCAAACTCGGAGGAGAGAAAGGCTGCAGAGATAGGAGGGTGAATGAGGCTAGGGGAGTCAAGACGCGGAGGGTGCAATGGACTTACCCCTGAGAGAGGCCTATGGGTAGGAGTGAGGCCTGCAGTGGATCCTACAGGTCCAGGGAAGCAGAGGGAGGTGAGGGCGGGGCCAGGCCCAGAAGCAGAGCTCCTGGGGCCCAGGGGAGGTATTCCATTGGTCTGGATGAAAAGGATCAGGGAGCAGTATTGGTTCCCCAGGTGTCTGGGGCCCCAAGACAAGGAATGGGGCAGGGCCCAAACTCCAAGGAGAGAAGGGTGGTGGAGATGGGAGGGTGAATGGGGATGGAGGAGTCAAAGCGTGGAGTCAATGTGAGAGGTAAACAATGCCTAGCTAGTTTTGAAAACCAGAGAGAACCATATTACTCCTACAACCTACTGACAAATTATACATAGCAGATCAAGAAATATATGTCTAGGTAAGGTTTATCTGAGAACAACTGGTCTTTGCCCAAGATTTATCTGCATGACACACAATAATTAAAAATACCAGACTGGTGGAACTAACCTTTTTGGATGTTTAACAGACATACTTTGAGGTCTCTAATAATTTTGTCAGAGGGACATAAAGGACAGTTTTTGCTCCTTGCCCTCCTAGGTCAGCTAGTTCCAGCGGACTATGAACATCTCTCAAAATATCCTATAATGGTGGTGGGTCACCAGTCCTCTTGATCAAGGAGGCTGAGGAGACCCCACCAGTTGGACTTGAACTACTGTCCAGTCTATAAAGAGGAGGGTCAACACAGAGGAATCACTTCCTCCATGCTTCCAAGCGAAGCCAACCACGGTCGAGCAGGACCTTTGACTTATCTTCACATAGGTGGAACTGGTAAAAGAAAGGAGCCAGGGGCTCCTCCCAAGCCCATGTGACCCCTGAGGACAGATCCTCAAATGACCTTAAGAATAAAAATAAATTGGTTTATCTGGACCAACTGTATGGCCTTAAACACCAAAAGGAAAGTATAACCAAAGATTAAATGGGCCAACATAACTTCCTAAGAGTCCATATGTAGCTAAAGGCTACATAATTAGCAACAATGCCAGACAAGCTTCTTTTGAGTTGTTGGCCAGGGTGGCCAAAGGGATTCCCAGATAGTAACCCAGCACAGAACTGGGAAAATGAACAGCAAACCCCAATCTTATCCAAAGGAATATAGACAACTGATTACTGCTACACGAGGAACAGTTGACCTTCGTAAAACAAAGACCTCTAGATAGGCTGACTAGATTCACCAGAAGGGCAAGTATTGGGGAATGGCTGGGGTGCCAACAACACAGCAGACAGTAGCAGGGATATCAGAGTATAAGGGCTCTAGTGGGGGAGGGA